TTTTTTTTTTTTTTTTTTTTTTCCATTGGATTAGCTAACGTTCAGCCCTCTTATCTGGTCAAAAAAAAGGTGATGTCTTTGATTGATGCTGGCCTGGCAATAAATTCTGGCTATCCTCTGGTCCTTCGAGCACAGCGGCGAACAGATCTGATCATTTCCTTCGATTTCAGCTCTGGAGATCCATTTGAGGTACATGTGTGGCTATGGCTTTGGAGGTTATTGGGTTGGGGACTGCAGAAATGCATTACAATCATTGTCAAAGAAATTTGCAAATAAATGTCTGAAGAAATTCTGACAGGTTGGTATGGTGATCATCACATTGTTTTCTAGGCAGTTGGCAGAAACAGATACTTGTAGAACGTAAGCCATTTTTGTCTGTCTTGTTCACAGGTATTGTATGGTAACGTACCAAGCTGTCAAGCTATCAAGGGTGCATCAGGGGGAAATCTCAGAAATTTCTTATCCTCCCTTTTTGCCTTAGGGCTAAGAATTTTTCTGCCTGTAAGTGATATTACTCCTTCCTTAAGGTCAGTTGATTATCAGAGAACCTCATCCTGGTGAGCAGGATGTTGACACTGAATGGTGTTGACACTGAATTCTTCCAGATTTCTGGGGTAAATAGGTGGGGAAAAGGACAGTATATAAAACTATCACCTTTCTGTAATTTCTGTAATTTGTGTTCCTTCCAAACCTGGTGTTTTATTTGGAATATTTTTTGGAGGTTGATTCGAGTTGATGAAGTTTAGTATCCAATAGGAATTTAAAATGTGCTGTAATACCTCAAATTGCTGCTTCTCTGGGTATTTTCAGTGTGGTCACTTTAGGTAGAGTGGAGGCTCTGGCTTCTTTGGGCATCTTACAATAGCCATTGAAAATAGACTAACTGATCATTTCAAGTGCCCATTTCCATTTGACTATAAATGAGATTGTCAGGGAGCAGCATGGGCCAGTTCCTCCCTAAGGGAGTGAGAGTCAAATTCAATAACACAATAAGCAGGGCAGGGGCCTCACCAGCCAGGGCCCATCCCTGCAGCACCTGAGGGAGACAAGCAGGGCACATTTGAGGGTGGCAGACAGGGTCCATCAAGAGTTCAGATTATCGGGCAAGGCCATGATGAAAAGGCAGGTCCATGGTCAAGGTAGGAAGTCAGTGTATGGGTTGAGGTGTAGATCAATGGAGTCCATGGCCAGGCACATCTGTGCCTGAGCTGAACACTGCTCCTTATTCAGTGAGGTCCCTGGGCCAATGGCAAGGGTACATGTGGAGGCCTCAGGACCCTTAAGGCATTAGGAGTATTAGTGCCTTCAGGATCCTAACAGTAGCCTTCCATCCCAGCAAAGTGTGCCCTTATGCATGGGATGTCTGGGTTCAGAAGAGCCTTACTGTAGAGTGATTTCACTGTTATTGTTGTCAGTGCTATTTCAGGACTACTTTGGGGGACACAGAGCCAGGGCAGAGACTGGCAACTGGAAAGGACACATGGCATGAGAGATTTGGGGTTGGACAGGGATGCTCAGGATGAGGTCCACTATGGATTTAGAATGAAGAGGGTGGGGCAGGGGGTTGTCTGAGCTGCCTCTGACAAGCATGGGAGGTTTGGCAAGCTTGAGGAAGCACATCACTCAGGAGCCTGGGAATGGGTAGGAGGTTGACATCATGGAGATATCAGAGGCCGGGAACAGGCTAAGCCCTTAACAGTCATAGTGTTCATAGTGGCAAAGTCCTGCACAGGTGTGGGCCAGTCTCCATGGTGCTTGGCAGAGGGCTCAGGAACATCTGAGCTAACTGCCATCTGCTCTTAAGGGAAAGGGAACCAGGAGTGATAACAGAGCAGGGCCTTGCCAGCCAGTGCCTAGTTTCACAGCGTCCAAGCAAGTCAAACAGGGCAGGCTGGGAGATGGCAGTCAGCTTCAACCAAAGGTTGGAATCATCACGCAAGTTTGCTATGATGAGGCAGGTCCAAGGTCAGTTCAGGAAGTCAATATGGATCAGGACTGGCGAAAGGTCTGCTGAGGATAACCAGTCTAGTGATGTCTGGGCAGGTCCATAGTGATGCCACCATTCCAAGGTCAAGCTGGGAAGTCAGCCTTTGGGTCAAGACCCAGATCAAGAGGGCTAAGGCACAAACATTACTGTGGCTGAGCAGGAGACCAGTGCACCTGGGACATAGGTCATGTAGAGGTTGAAGGCAAAGGCCTGGGATTAAATGGTATTCATAGGCCCATGGGAAGGATCTGGTCCTAATCAACTCACACCTTAACAAGAATAAAAGTAAAGGGGTTTGTAAAATGTAATTCTCTAGGCAGGAAGAGCAGAAAGCCTTATTAAAGGTGAGAGAATCTCCCCCCCCCCTGCC